CAGAGGTCAAACGTTTACTATAGGTCTTTACCAGGTTTGCACACACAGTAGCTGGTATTTTGGCCCATTCCTCCATGCAGATCTTCTCGAGAGCAGTGATGTATTGGGGCTGTCGCCGAGCAACACGGACTTTCAACTCCCGCCACAGCTTTTCTATGGGGTTGAGGTCTGGAGACTGGCTAGGCCACTCCAGGACTTTCAAATGCTTCTTACGGAGCCACTCCTTTGTTGCCCGGGCGGTGTGTTTTGGATCATTGTCATGTTGGAAGACCCAGCCGCGTTTCATCTTCAAAGTTCTCACTGATGGAAGGAGGTTTTGGCTTAAAATCTCACGATACATGGCCCCATTCATTCTGTCCTTAACACGGATCAGTCGTCCTGTCCCCTTGGCAGAAAAACAGCCCCATAGCATGATGTTTCCACCCCCATGCTTCACAGTAGGTATGGTGTTCTTGGGATGCAACTCAGTATTCTCCGTCCTCCAAACACGATGAGTTGAGTTTATACCAAAAAGTTCTACTTTGGTTTCATCTGACCACATGACATTCTCCCAATCCTCTGCTGTATCATCCATGTGCTCTCTGGCAAACTTCAGACGGGCCTGGACATGCATTGGCTTCAGCAGCGGAACACGTCTGGCACTGCGGGATTTGATTCCCTGCCGTTGTAGTGTGTTACTGATGGTGACCTTTGTTACTTTGGTCCCAGCTCTCTGCGGGTCATTCACCAGGTCCCCCGTGTGGTTCTGGGATCTTTGCTCACCGTTCTCATGATCATTTTGACCCCACGGGATGAGATCTTGCGTGGAGCCCCAGATCGTGGGAGATTATCAGTGGTCTTGTATGTCTTCCATTTTCTGATGATTGCTCCCACAGTTGATTTTTTCACACCAAGCTGCTTGCCTATTGTAGATTCACTCTTCCCAGTCTGGTGCAGGTCTACAATACTTTTCCTGGTGTCCTTCGAAAGCTCTTTGGTCTTGGCCATGGCGGAGTTTGGAGTCTGACTGTTTGAGGCTGTGGACAGGTGTCTTTTATACAGATGAGTTCAAACAGTTGCCATTCATACAGGTAACGAGTGGGGGACAGAAAAGCGTCTTACAGAAGACGTTACAGGTCTGTGAGAGCCAGAGATTTTCCACGTTTGAGGTGACCAAATACTTATTTTCCACCCTGATTTACGAATAAATTCTTTACAAATCCTACCATGTGAATTCATGGATTTTTTTTTCACATTCTGTCTCTCACAGTTGAAGTGTACCTCTGGTGCAAATTACTGACCTCTGTCATCATTTTAAGTGGGGAACTTGCACAATCGGTGACTGACGAAATACTTTTTTGCCCCACTGTACTCACATACTCAGCAAATCATAACTTACACTGAATAAATGCTAAAATGTAAATAATAAAAAATTGAACTCAAAACCTGCCTTTTCTGGCAATAAAGACAATAGCAAACACAATAATTCAACAATCCTTTGTGGCATTTTGTGTGTGTGTGTGATTTCTGGTTTTAATATTAGGCTTTTTTTTCCTTTTTCATTTTTTAGATGCAGAATTCTAGAATAGGGCCCTGTTTACTTGTGTGTCAGAAAAAATACAGCAAAAACATAATGTGATAAATATCAAACAAGACAAAAAAGGCATATCTAAACAAGCTTCAACAAATTAAATTTGCAGTTTTTATGAGAGAGAGGAAAAAATCCCATCGTGTTTCAAGTACAGTTTATATGAAAACACAATTGTTTAAAACAGTGACGTAGCGCTGTATGAAAATCAGATAATTTTAAATTCAAACTACAGGGAGATTCAAATTCTACAAGTATCACAGTCTAAAATGATATATGAAAAAAAATTGAAATTAAATGCATTAAATGGAGCTGGTGGTGTATTATTTACCATACGACCTGAGGAGCTGCTCCTTTCAGCTACAACTTGTGAAGAAAAGTACTAACTTCTCAAAGTATTTCTTATTTCATCTGCTTAACTGGAAAGGGGCACCTCAGTGTCAACTATATACATTTCATTTTGTGCAATATACTGGGATATTTGTAATTAGAGTAATTTGTATTTATTAGATCAATTAGCTGTTGTCTGTTTTAGTACGACTTTAGTAATCTACGAAGCTGCTCCGCTTGATGGATTATTGGAGCATTACAGCTACCGTAGTCAGGAGCCTCTTGGAGTAATCTGGGTCCAAACGCTGCTTCAGGTCAGCGTCAAAGTCAAACAAACAGCGACATCACTGAGAGTTAAAAACTGTCTAAATTCTTTCATGTTTAATAAAATGATCAGTGTTGCTGCTTTACCAGGTGTAACAATTAACTTTAACATCCAGGCATCCATGAAAACAGAATTTATTACATTTAACAGAGTTAAAAGTTAGCTTAGTTTCCACCCAAACGTGATATGCCATATTCTGACAGAGATTTCTGAAAAATTTTAAACATACCCCTCTTCTATCACTTCCAACATAAATAAGGAGAGTAAACTAAACAGCAGTGACGTTTGTACGGTTACTGAAGTTGGACTCCCTGGTAAATAATGATGTGGTACGAGATCACTAGCGACACAGCTATGTTAGCATAACAAACGCAGTGAAGCTGGAGGATGAACGCTAACGTTTTCCACTCAATACAAGTTAACGTGAGAATTCCCAATGGTTAGAGACAAACGCAATCACATGGCAGGATGCTGTAAATGGACCAAACTTCAGTCAGGAGAACAACTGAAATAATGCATCCACAATACGAGGTTAGTTATTAGTAAGATAAATAAATAAGTAATAATAGGTTAGTCATTAATATACTGCAGCAATATGGTAGAGTTGGATGTCTCGAGACAGGTCTTGGTCTTGTCTTGGTCTCAACGGTTAGTCTTGGTCTCGCTGTCTCAGATCGACATAGTGGTCGCGAGATTTGGAGTTGACAATATCCATGACACACAACGTAACGTTCGATAATGTGTCATGCGCAAAAGCATCAGCTGTAAGAGCCGTGCTTAGAGAGTGCTTTTTAGTGAATCAGAAGAATCTACTCCCATTGAGCGAGAGCCGGCTCCTCACTTAATTTCCTTTAGCTGCTCAGCTCTCACACAGTGGCTCAGCTATGCTCCAATCCCTCCATATTGTGGCCAATCACATGCAAGGATATAGGATAATATCCTTATGTGAAAAACAGAGAGGGTGAGAGATGCGACAGTCAAGTGGAGCATCCGTCTGTCCTCTCAGTAAGTGAGTGAGACAGTAGACAGCGGTAAGGAGGGCTGTGCGAGTGAATCACAAAAACACATAAATATGCCTGACACCTGTAAATGAAGCAGGATCTGGCTGCAGGTTAAAGATGTTTTTGTCTCGGTCTCGTCTCGACTTTGTCTTGACTCGGTCTGTCTTGGTTTAGGTGGTCTTGACTACAAGTCTACAACATGGGAATAGAGCAGCTGCGAGTACGGAAGTGGAGGAAGCAAGAAGAATGAGTTGAGTAAATGGCCTGTATTTGTATAGCGCTTTTACTAGTCCCCCTAGGGACCCCAAAGCGCTTTACACACCCAGTCATCCACCCATTCACACATATTCACACACTGGTGGAGGCAAGCTGCAGTTGTAGCCACAGCTGCCCTGGGGCGCACTGACAGAAGAGAGGCTGCCATATCGCACCATCGGCCATTCTGGCCAACACGAGTAGGCGGGTAGGTGAAGTGTCATGCCCAAGGACACAACGACCAAGACTGTATGAGCCGGGGCTCGAACCGGCAACCTTCCGATTACAAGGCGAACTCCCAACTCTTGAGCCACGATTGCCCCAATAAATAGTAAAGTTTGACTTATCTGATTGTTTTGTCTCGAACCTGTAATGCGCCTTATAATCCAGTATGCCTTATGTATGAAAACAGACCCATTCATCGACTGTGTGCCTTAAGGTCCGAAAAATACGGTGCTGAATTTAGTTAATACAACCACATGATTTCTTCTTGGATTAATAATGTATTCAGATTCTAATTCGTTTGTGAAAATTCACAACTACAGCACATTTAGAATCACTAATTAACCCAACATTAAAGTAAATTGATTCTTAAAATAACAGCATATTAACCTGAAATTAAACGGTCAAATCGCAATCTCAAGGGCCAGATTTTGTGCAGTTTCTGGAAAATTTGAATCTTCTCCCTGAGTTTTGGATGCCAGGAGTTTAACAGCCATCTGTAGGTGTTTAATGACAAAACTAGAATAGCAAATCTCTTTTTTAGAAAATGTCTAAGTGCTAAGCTATAACTGAGGTCATAGTAGGTGTTCTTGTTATACCAGACAAGGGCTGTGCAGAGATGTTTTAAGGGGTGGGTGCTCAATGTTAAAAAGGAGCACATAGGACCCGGCTGAACAAAAACAACCCACATTATTTAAGAATCTAATCCAATATAAAATCGCATCATACTATATAACTGTCATCAGGTGGGAACAATGCAAAGCAAATGTAGCCTATCTTGATGCATTCTCAATCATCCAGGAAAGTAAATCTTTCAGATGAACAGAATCAACTTTTGGAGAAATGTAGCCTATATTTTACCTGATGGGGTACAATGTTGCTGTTGAGGGGTTTCTGCTGCCGCTGCTGCTGGTTGTGCTGCAGGGCAGGGCTGTGCTGATCTGAGAAAGTAGACATTCAAAAGTCCATAGGAGACACTGTATCTGATTAAACAAGTGTTATGAGATAATAATAAAATGCAAAGATTGGTGACACTCTTTGTCTCTCTTCCTCCTTCTGTCTCCTCATCTCATCTATCTCTCCACTTGCTGTCCATCTGAGAACAAGGCACAATTTACTATTGCATTAATCTATTATTTTATTATCCACTTAAAAACCACTTAAAAACTCTAGCACCTAATCCATAATAAAGTAATGATATAAAAATGTTATAGAAACAAATCATTGTGTTTATTATTGTTTTTATGCTTAACTATAACTGCAATGCAACAACTGGTACATGTGATATTATTACCTGTGCTCTTCTCTTTAAGCCAGCTGCTGAGGAGTCCACCACCTTTAGCCTCACGAGTTTTCCTTTCCTTACGAGGCATGGCTGGACAATGTTATATAATGAGTAATCATTTTTAAAAAATCTATACACATAAAAATACAAACACATACACATACAGTGACATTTTATACCTTCTCCAGAATACTCTATAGACTATGGCCACAAGTTTGAAGCATGGTGCTGATAAAGAATCTAAGGAGGACTTGCGCATGCCACAGTTTGAACGCAGCACATAATAGCTGTGTCCCAAAACTTAGGACAGGGCCCACGCGTCTTCGAAGACTGAGAAGGGCGGAAGTGCGAGGCTATGAAATGGGATGGTCTAGCCTTCAGATTTGCGTCACCACTGTCTCGGTGGAGTTTAATAAACTCTGCCGTCTGCTCCTTACTATCTAAAATATAACAGGTCACTGGCGTATATTCTCCATCATCTCACACTTCTGTTTAATCAGTTTTCTGTTTGACGTTTATTCAGCTGAGAACCCTGGAGGAACCCACCTGAGGGATTAATTACGTTTTGTTTACATAATTTTGTTTGCCATCTATAATCCAGTTTTGAGATCCCTTCCCAGACGCCTTAACATCCACTCACATCCTGGGCCATCTGACCTCAGGAAATCACATGATAGGGTGGGGCCAGGTTTCACAATGAGCTCGCCCAACATATCTTAAAACTACAGTTGGACACAGAAATGAAGCCCAACAATCATGTTTTTACAGTCCTGTGGTCTCAGCCTCAGATACTTAGCGAATCAAAACATCTCATTAAAAACACAAACGAACAATTTTCTCTCCTTCATTTCTGTCAAACAATGCTGTATGAAACGTTTCTAGCGGTTAATATCATGGTTGCAAGGCAACGGAGGCTAGACCGTCCCATTTCACAAGTCTCGCACTTCCGCGATTCTCGCTCTTTGGAGTACCCGGCCCACGTAGTAGTGATGGTAAATTTGATTCTTTTTATTGAATCGAGTGTTAATGAGTCACTCACCAAAGTGAATAGAGTTTGAGTCATTTGATTCACTGAGTCAGTTGACCAGAGAGTGCAAAAATTTTACATTTTCACTCAAACTTAATTTGTTTCCCTTTTCATGTAAATCCCACTGCTAAGATGAATGATTAAAAAACAAACAAACTATTTTATAGAGAAAAAAAAAAAAAGAGCAAAAACACTTCTAAAATTAAGCAGTTTCCTATCAAAATTGCTTAATAAACATTTATTTGTATTTTATTAGTATTTTCCTTAAGTGTGTCAAATATATATTTTCTTATCTAAATGTCCACTGTGCTGTGAGCCAGGGGGCGGTAGTGCGCCTTAACATTGAAGAAGAAGAAGAAGAAGAACAAGAAGAAGGACAAGACGAAGAAGAAGAACAAGAACAAGAAGAAGGACAAGACGAAGAAGAACAAGAAGAACAACAACAAGAAGAACAAGAACAACAAGAAGAACAAGAAGAAGAAGAACAACAACAAGAAGAACAAGAACAAGAACAAGAAGAAGAAGAACAACAAGAAGAAGAACAACAACAAGAAGAAGAAGAACAACAAGACGAAGAAGAACAACAAGACGAAGAAGAAGAAGAAGAACAACAACAAGAACAAGAACAAGAACAAGAACAAGAACAAGAACAAGAACAAGAACAAGAACAAGAACAAGAACAAGAACAAGAACAAGAACAAGAACAAGAACAACAACAAGAAGAAGAAGAACAACAAGAAGAACAAGAACAAGAACAACAAGAAGAAAAACAACAACAACAACAACAACAAGAAGAACAACAAGAAGAACAAGAAGAAGAAGAAGAAGAAGAAGAAGAACAACAACAACAACAGGGAGGGGGTGAGTGAGTGATTCGTTCGCTCGCTCTATGATTCAGCACAGGAGGGAGGGGGTGAGTAGCTCAAATGAGCATGTTAGCAGCGCGATGCTACTGTGAACCGAGGAGCTATTTTCTTGATTTTTCTTCCAGTTCAGAGCAGAAATGCTTTTGTTACGAAACTGGCTGTTGTTTTCCCCCCCACAATTTTAATTATAAGCTAGATATATTTCTACTAATGGAATTAGTTTGCTAACAGCAACAGGGATGAGTCAGTTGGGCTTGTGAATCATGATTCACGAGTCAGTAAAGTGATTCTCGAGTATTGAACGATTTGGTCACGAATCGAACATCACTAGAACGTAGACCGCGGAGGCCGGGTACTATGAAGTGTGCGGCCCCACTAGGAGGCCACTAGGAGTCCCAGGCTTCTACCTTTAAAACCCGGAGAGCAGCCAAATGGCTGGTAGGCTTTTAGCTAAGCTTTAGCTTCAGCCAAGTGGAAGCTAAATTGGCTAGTCATTCATATGTAAATTAGGTTGTTACCTGGGAATTCTGGAGGGAGGGGAGTGGGGGGGTGTGATTGAGGGGGTGGGGGAGCTGCTAAAAGCTGTGAACTTCCTTTTGTGTTCGTCTTGATGCATTCTCAATCATCCAGGGAAATAAATCTCCAAAAGTCACCAACTTGGAGTGTTTCAGTTTGCCATCTTAGGGAGAAATCAACACACATGGGTGTATGTCCTTTGTTGCTGAGATTTATTGATAAAAACAGTACAAAAAACCAACCATTTGTACACATATTTACAAATAATAATAAAAAGTGAGTGAGTACATTTCAACATTTTCAGCAATCACTCACAATCCTGGCACTGCCATGGTATCTGTAGTCTGCATTTACCACATGTGTATCTGTAGCAGTGAACACATCGCACAGTGGCATGATTGTTCTTGCATTTGTGTTTGACCTGACACATGGCTCTTTTTCCAGGGCCAGGTGTGGAGGGTTGTGTCCAAAGCAACTGTTCTTTTCTTGCCTTCTTCTCAGCTACATGAGAGTGAGCCAACTCTCTTGCAAGCTCCACCAGGAAGTCCACCCATCTTTCCTTCATCCCGGTGCATGCTTGATACAGCACATGTGCATTCAGTGCTGCCATGTCAATCATGTTATAAAACATGGCAACTGGCCAGCGCCGTGTTCCTCTGCGGACAGTGTACTCCCGAACCATCTGGTCCATCACATCCACGCCACACTTTGTTTTGTTGTAAAGGGTGACAGTGTTTGGCTTCCTTTTGGTAGTGTTATCAGTCTGAACCACGCTGTGCATGCTGCTAAGAATATAGACTGTCTTCTTCCGTTTGGCCGCATACGCCGTCAGCGTGGCAGCAGAGGTTGAAAACACCTAAGAAATAAGATAAATTGTTATTTCCATAGCCCTTTTACACACAATGAAACACATAAATCAATCAGATTTATGTGTTTCATTGTGGCATCAATCAGACCACTGGTATAATAAAAGCATAATCACAATGGACCACTGATCAATGGTCCACTGGACCACAAATCAAAGACCACTGATCAATTATGATCAAGGATATATATATGATACAATCTCACTGCACTTAGCCTAATCCTTCATTGCCCTGAAGAATTCTGTGGTGTACGGACCTCCTCTCCAAGGAAAGAAAATGCAGAGAAGACTCAGTGGTCTTTGATCAGTGGTCCATTGTGATTATGCTTTTATTATACCAGTGGTCTGATTGATGCCACAATGGAAACACATAAATCTGATTGATTTATGTGTTTCATTGTGTGTAAAAGGGCTATGGAAATAACAATTTATCTTATTTCTTAGGTGTTTTCAACCTCTGCTGCCACGCTGACGGCGTATGGGGCCAAACAGAAGAAGACAGTCTATATTCTTAGCAGCATGCACAGCGTGGTTCAGACTGATAACACTACCAAAAGGAAGCCAAACACTGTCACCCTTTACAACAAAACAAAGTGTGGCGTGGATGTGATGGACCAGATGGTTCGGGAGTACACTGTCCGCAGAGGAACACGGCGCTGGCCAGTTGCCATGTTTTATAACATGATTGACATGGCAGCACTGAATGCACATGTGCTGTATCAAGCATGCACCGGGATGAAGGAAAGACGGGTGGACTTCCTGGTGGAGCTTGCAAGAGAGTTGGCTCACTCTCATGTAGCTGAGAAGAAGGCAAGAAAAGAACAGTTGCTTCGGACACAACCCTCCACACCTAGCCCTGGAAAAAGAGCCATGTGTCAGGTCAAACACAAATGCAAGAACAATCATGCCACTGTGCGATGTGTTCACTGCTATAGATACACATGTGGTAAATGCAGACTACAGATACCATGGCAGTGCCAGGATTGTGAGTGATTGCTGAAAATGTTGAAATGTACTCACTCACTTTTTATTATTATTTGTAAATATGTGTACAAATGGTTGGTTTTTTGTACTGTTTTTATCAATAAATCTCAGCAACAAAGGACATACACCCATGTGTGTTGATTTCTCCCTAAGATGGCAAACTGAAACACTCCAAGTTGGTGACTTTTGGAGATTTATTTCCCTGGATGATTGAGAATGCTTCAAGATGAAACACAAAAGGAAGTTCATAGCTTTTAGCAGCTCCCCCACGCCCTCAATCACACACCCCCACTCCCCTCCCTCCAGAATTCCCAGCTAACAACCTAATATACATATGAACAGAGATGGGCAGTAACGCGTTATTTGTAACGCGTTACTGTAATCCATCCATCCATCCATCCATTCGCGTCCACTTATCCTTTTCAGGGTCGCGGGGGCGCTGGAGCCTATCCCAGCTGTCATTGGGCGAGAGGCGGGGTACACCCTGGACAGGTCGCCAGTCTGTCGCAGGGCCAACACACAGGGACAGACAACCATTCGCACTCACATTCACACCTATGGGCAATTTGGATTAACCAATTAACCTATCCCCACAAGCTGCATGTCTTTGGACGGTGGGAGGAAGCCGGAGTACCCGGAGAGAACCCACGCAAACACGGGGAGAACATGCAAACTCCACACAGAAAGACCCCAGCCGTTACTGTAATCCGATTACTTTTTTCAAGTAACGAGTAAAGTAAGGGATTACTATTGCAAAAACGGTAATTAGATTACCTTTACTTTCCCGTAGGAACGCTGCGTTACTGCGTTACTAAAACCGTGAATCTTTTGCGAGAATGTCTCACGACAGTGACGTAAGCGAGTGCGCCGTTGGTGACAACAGCTGTGTGCAGATCAACAGTGGATCACATATCGAGTGCAGGAGAGAGTATGAGCGTGCAGCGTTTAAAGTGTGGAAGTACTGACCTTACTTTGAGTTTGATTCCATAAAAAGTGACAAAAACATTAGTGTCCGCTGTGCGTGGGAAGAAAACTTCTTTTTACAGCGAAAAAAACCCTAAACTTCCAAGGAAGCACCGAGTAGCTACGACATAATGGGAAACTCACAGAGCTGCCATATCCTTCCACTGACCGCAGCACACCTGCACCAGGGTAAACCTCCGCCTACCTAACTCCTGCTTTACAGGTGAAAATAGAGCAACAGGACCGCTGAGTCTTTGACTTTATTTATTTTCTGCTGTGTTTTACTTGCATCTATTTGAAAGACTGAGTGTAAACACACAAAATATTTTATTTTATGTGGTGGAATGTGCAGAAAATAGGTTTAAATGTTAAACTAATTTCTTCCAGTCAGAGAATGTTGCATATAATTACATTTTTGCTTGATGCATAAAGTTAAAAGATTAAAACTAATAAAACAAGTTAAAAAGAGACTTTTCCATTTGATTACATTTTGTATGATGGATTATGCAGAAAAAGTAGAATTGGGCTGAAAGATCTATCGCTTTATCACCTCTTCAGGTTGTAAATCGTGTTTTTAAAAAGTAACTAAGTAACTAAGTAATTAATTACTTTTGAAAATAAGTAATCAGTAAAGTAACGAGATTACTTTTTGGGGGAGGTAATCAGTAATTAGTTACTGATTACTTTTTTCAAGTAACTTGACCAACACTGCATATGAATGACTAGCCAATTTAGCTTCCACTTGGCTGAAGCTAAAGCTTAGCTAAAAGCCTACCAGCCATTTGGCTGCTCTCCGGGTTTTAAAGGTAGAAAAGCCAAATGGCTGCTCCCCGGGGGTTTAAGTTTAATAGGGACACAGCTAATGACGTGCTCTTGCGCGACCAATTAAAACGAAGCCACACTCATCACTGGTCGGGATCGTTACAAAGCTTTCTTCTTTATGGATGAGCGATACATTTTTTAAATTAAATATTTGAATAAAATACAACACAAACTCTCGCAGAGGATACAAAGTCAGATAAAATGTTTTTAAATGACAAGGCGCAGCGCATCTAGTACATATACAGCTGCTGCAAAAAATGACGTACAGAGCTCAGCAGCCAGTACAACACAAGCTTTGGATCCTTTTCTCTAGTTAGCGATGAGCGCACCGCATACCGCGTCCGATAGGAAAGGCCCTTTCACGTCAGTAGTTGAGGGGCCGTGACGCTACACGCACACACAAAATGAAAAAAAAAAGCCTCAAGAAAAGGACACACATCTGGAAAGGGGCAGATGCTCAAGTCCCCCAGCCTCCCTTTAAAAACATTAAAAAAAACCCTTAAGATTAACAGTGACATGCTCACCTGAGAGTTTGAATCACCTTGTAGTTTCGTGCACTCTGCTGCTACGAGGACTGTCTGGATAAAGAGATGCACATAAAAATAACCCAACCAGGATCTCAATATGATAAATGAAGAAGTATAAATCTGCAGCATTATTAGCCAAAATGTTAGTTTTTTTCTTTGTTTGTTTTTTAATGTATGTGTTGCATCTGTTAAGTTGCAGCTTCATTTCATAGACCGGTTGACACACCCTGAACACAGTAAGCAAACAGGCTGCTGTAGTTCGTTCTCTCGAATCCTAAAAGACCGTTTGAAAAGCTCGGGCGTGTCTTACGCCTAAAAGCAACTCAGATCCTAGTTCACTTGGACTTGAAATTTGCTTTTTTTTAAGCCAGTAATTCTAAAAACAAACAAACAAACTATAACTGGTTATATCAGATGTAATTTATCTGACTTTACCGATCGGTTTTTACTCACCAAACTACTGCTGGGACTGAGAGATCTGCTGACATCTGGCAGGAAGTGGAAAGCAAGTGAATGATCCTGAAGACGAGGAGAGACTTGCTCACATGGTAACCTATTAACCAACCACATGCGAACATGTGTTTTGGGGGCGTTTTTACTTTGCGTGTGTTAAAAGCTGGATGGGTGGGTGTGGAATAAATCACCAAAGTAATTAAGACTTCTTACACGTCTGTGGCTCTTAGAACCGTCTGTAGTCCTGTGTGCCGACAGGTGTGAAGGAAGAGAGGGAGATATTGCATTATTTTATAATGTATAACGCTCTGTAGCAGGAATAAATGAATCAGTGTAGTGTTTTCCTTCATTACATGCTGCAGTGTCCTGAGAGAGAACCTGCTACTCTGTGCAAATATTTCCCTTGGATGTGCTTTAACCCTTTAAAGCCTAGTATATTAAATTTGATACATGTTTTTTGTGACTTTAAATTACAATACATTTTGAAGCAAATGTTATTATTTTAAATGCTAGATTTAGCAAATATGATACAAATTAAAAGTACATTGACTAAAATTAACAAAAGTATAGTAATTAAAATTTAGAGGGTGCCAAGATGAGTAAACCTGATGAAACTTTACACCAAAACAAATAATGTATTAAGAGCAGAAGGAAGCACGTTGCTGGGTTAGTGTAGGGACTAACTCGTTATTAAGTAATGCATTACAGTAACTACGTTATTATTGTGGCAACAAGCACAGTAACTAGTTATTATGCCAAAATCAGGAACGCGTTAATTGTTACTGGGATTTAGGCTCGTTATTTGTTACTTCGTGTGGTGACTATCACGGAGCTTCCACAGATTCAGTAACATTAGCAAGTGGTGGAGGCCAGCAGGTGGATGAGGGAAAGGGGAGGCAGGAGGAGCAGAGACCCAAAGCAGCCGCCAGTCTGAGTGTCAGGTGAACTGAACTTCAGGTAAGAAGTTATAACCTGCAGGTCAGATATAAACGAAGTTTAGGTGGAGTTTATTTTCGTCATGCTGACTTTTTCATGCTGGGTGCTAGCTAGCATGATGGAGTTTCTATAGAGCTGGGTGGGTGCTATGAAGTTAATGATGTTGAACTTTATTTTGTTCACAAGGTTAATTATTAGAGTTTCCAACCATCCCCTATAAAACGGAATCGTCTCGGAGAAAATATTACCCGTTTCGTATTGAGCTGAAAAGGAACGCAGTTTGTCCCGGACTGGGGCGATTGTGGCTCAAGAGTTGGGAGTTCGCCTTGTAATTGGAAGGTTGCCGGTTCGAGCCCCGGCTTGGACAGTCTCAGTTGTTGTGTCCTTGGGCAAGACACTTCACCCGTTGCCTACTGGTGGTGGTCAGAGGGCCCGGTGGCGCCAGTGTCCGGCAGCCTCGTCTCTGTCAGTGCGCCCCAGGGTGGCTGTGGCTACAATGTAGCGTGCCATCGAATGTGCGTGAATGGGTGGATGACTGGATATGTAAAGCGCTTTGGGGTCCTTAGGGACTAGTAAAGCGCTATATAAATACAGGCCATTCAGCTAGAATGAAAAAGACACAAAACTGGATTTATTCCGTGTCTTTATGCTGCAGCTGCCTCTTCTCTCATTCTCTCCCCTCCCTCTCCTGTTGCTACTTCAATCATGAAACTGATCAATGATCAGCTGATCGGCTTTTCTCTCTCGTTTGTTTATCGCCCACTTTGCGCCAGAAAGAAGAAACCAACGGAGGTCAGAATCTGTGGCAAGATCTGAAAACTGCTGTTCACAAACGCTGTCCATCTAATCTGACTGAGCTGGAGCTGTTTTGCAAAGAAGAATGGGCAAGAATTTCGGTCTCTAGATGTGCAAAGCTGGTAGACACAGACCCTAAAAGACTGGCAACTGGCATTGCAGCAAAAGGTGGTTCTACAAAGTATTGACTCAGGGGCTGAATAATTACGCACACCCCACTTGCAGTTATTTATTTGTAAAAAATGTTTGGAATCATGTGTGATTTTCATTCCACGTCTCACGTGTGCACCACTTTGTGTTGGTCTTTCACGTGGAATTCCAATAAAATTGATTCATGTTTGTGGCTGTAATGTGACAAAATGTGGGAAAGTTCAAGGGGGCCGAATACTTTTGCAAGCCACTGTATTAAATGCATCACCACAGGTGAGTAATCAGGAGGGTCTTCCATTTTCATTTAAACACCATCATGAAAAATCTCATAAGTGAGCAAAGTTAAACAGGTAAGAAGGTAAATTATTAGCTGCTCTTTTTAACTTTCTCCATTTCCAAGCTAACATTAGCTAGTCTTTCTCACTGTTGATAATGGCACTCATGAGTGCAAGTACAGAAACTCTAATCCAAGTCCTTAACATAGAAATAACTCCAAAAGTTCTTAGGGGAAACTGTGAGAGTCAGCTACGGTCTAATTTTTCTAAGCACATTACCAATAAACAGGATTTAATACAATGAAAAAGCTGCCCAACACACATTTATTTAGTAAATGAACAATATAAATCTTAATTATGCCAACAGGAATTAACCTTTTGGCATAATTAATATTTCAAACATGCAACAGAATTTTCTTTATGAAACCACATATCCAATAAAAAAATTAATTTCCATAATTTTAACCACCTTTTGTTGTTTTTATTACTTATTTAATTAATACAAAGTAATTAGCAGCAGTCGTGATAAGAAAGCAGTTTGCTTTGACAAAGGAAAGCTTTGTTTCTGATTCATGTACAAACTGTTAAATGTTTACCGTTTATCACTGTTACTGCAACAAATTCCATTTTAAACATAAGAGTGGGACTCACTCCCATCGTGTTCCTTACTGTCATAGACTGGATTTGCCTGATAAGTATGGTGGGTGGCCCTGAGAGGTCAAAGACAATGCAACTTAAGAAAACACCACCAAACATAAAAATACTCTGGTAGCACACAAAACACAATAGAAGTAAAAAACAAACAAACAAAAAGGACCAAAATCAACACGCAACACAAAATAGGAGTGTTTTTTAGGGAGACAGAACAGCCAAAATTATTGCAAAATAAGCCAAACCCATCTGTTCTCTGATTGGATTGTTTAATTTGTGATTGACATGACATTGACCAATCAGCTTAAAGGAAGAAAAATAGGGTTAAAATTCGTACTTGTAACTTGCAGGGTTTTTTTTGGGCTAAGTCCACACACAAATCTTTTTGTCCACACACAAATCTTTTTTACACATACAACTCTTTTTTACGCATGCACAAATTTTTTTACACATACAAATCTTTTTTACAAGTACAAAACCGATTTACAAATACAAAATATTTATGACCACATTTTGAGCCCATAACTATGAGGACTGCCTCGTTTGTAGAGCCTAAAATGGCCACTAAAGGAACTACAGTGTTTGGCACTTGGCCACTTAATTCATTTTAGTTCTGGAGTTTAATGCACCTAACATCTCATCAAGCTGTACTTATTCGTTTCCATGACAACAGAAAAAAATGTTTTCTTTCAGTAACCACAATCTTCCTTTAATATGAAAATCCTGAATCCAAGAAAACAACTTTTCATTAGGTTTTACAGAACTGGTGGTTGATGGAAACAGTATCACCCCTCCAAGTAAACAACAAATATATAATATAAAGTAGTTTGTGTGTGGCAAAGTTTAACTAGAAAAAAAAAGACATTTTGAATGTGCCAGTGCAATGCGTGTTATATAGCTGGACCACATACTAATTTTTCATGATCCTGGAGATATTTATATGGACATGGCTGCAGGAAAGGGATGCTATTCTTCAGATTTTCAGCTGAAATTTGGAAACCGTTTATAATGGGCCTCCCTAGAAGAGAACCTGGAGGACACAATAAGCTGTTAGGTGATTTGTATCAGAACAAGAGTAACATTAGGTGAAAGCATGAAACAACCAGAAGACAATGTCAGAAATCCAGGCTGAGAATTCAGAATGATTAATGTCATCCGACTGTGGCTGCACAGTCAAGGGAAAACTATTTTTCATCAAACCTGAACTGCGACTATGATAAACATGATTCACTTATTACAAGTCTAACACCTGATGAGACCTGTTGAAACTTGGAATGACACATGATCAAATATGCCAGAGAGCTAGTGCATAAGAGCAGATTTATTTTCACTTTCATTAACATGGCAGGATAAAGTACAACACCTTTTGAACTCTGTGAAAACTGTACAACAAATTGGTACCGAGAGTTACACCAGACTTCTGAGTTTTATCAATGCTGTGGGAGACGTATGCTTTCATTTCTACCACAGTTCAGCATAGCAAACAGAATCAAGATTACATATAGTACACAGCATGCGTCAGTACTTTGCATTGGCACACTCAAATACTGTCATGTTACAATTAATCAATGTGTCCAAATGTTACCCAGAGTTGTCCTTATCATAAGCAATGTGCAAAGAGCTGCAACGATCCAAATACACATGAAGTCTAATGGGAAGGAGAAATTTTTATTTAAAAAAAAAGAAACAAAAAAAGGGGAGTGTGCAAATTAATCACTAAATCTGTAAGATGGAAAAAAGTAAAGCACCTTTCAGGTAAACAGAAATAGCATGAATGACAGCCTCACTTCCAGAAGGACCAAACTAGATTCCTCTTCCAAAATACTGGCTCTGCACTCCAATCGTTTTATTTGGGTTGGCAGCAGGTTTGGGGTCGTGTTGACACTCTGACGTTTTCCATTTACTATGCAGTAAACCGTGCAAGAGTTCAGTCCGAGAACACGAAACGAAATGCTTTGAAAGCAGCTGCAATCGGTTCCATGTGTGACAGTTTGCTACCACACGTGTCCTGAGTGTAACTCAACTCCAGCCGTACTTACGGCGGTGTTCCTCTGGGCTTTACTCGAGGCCCAGGGAGAAATTAATGCCGTGAACTATACCAATGATGATGGGTTGCCAAGCAACCAAGTATCTGAGCCAGTCAAGAAGCTGCCCATAAAGGACATGCGTCTTCTCCCAGCTGGAAATTGAGGCATTAAGGACAAACATCATGTTTTCTAGACAAACTTTGGGGGTGCACTGTATTAGTAAAGAGCAGTGAAATCAAATAAGTAAAAGAACATAATGTTGACTGTTACAAGGACAATGTTAATAGTCTACGCTTTTTTTCAGTTATTTGGAGATGACTTGCTTCATAGAAATCACTTTCTATGAAGATCTGAAGAAGTTTCTACTTATTTATTCATTAATTCCATGTTATCTTCTTTTTTTAAAAAAAAAACAAAACAACATATAACAAACCCCCCCAGCAATACTTCAATTGTCAGCCCTTAATGGACAGCAAAAGGATACGGGTTGTTCATCATCCTCTTCAAGTCAACCTTCTCATTGCAGTATGGACATGTCTGCTTCTTGCCAACAATGCACCAGCCACGGATGCAGAACTCGTGGAATCTGTTGGTTCAGGATTGAGTTAAGGCAGAAAGAGCAACCTGTTTACAGAAAACTCATCATCATATAAACTCCATCTGTGTAACTAGAGCCATTTTGATTTACAGGTGGCTCCCTGACATAGGTGGCTGTAGCTGTTACTTTCCTGCTAAGCTTGGCTAACTAAAGTCACTGAACCAGACCTTGAGTGTTTTTTTCCACTTTTGGAGGAATTTAATGCAATTGTATATCAAATAATATCACTTGCTGTGCAGTTAAGAGGCCATCCAATAAATTTGTCCTTGAAGCTAGCAAGCATGAATGTTAGCGTAACACTCCACCTCTAATATTCTTCAGTTCAAAAAGATGATGGAGACGATGATGGAGGACTCAATCCTACCTTTGCCCCATGTGACCTAACAATTCACATGTGAATGGGGCAAGTTAGGGTCTCTCAGGGACACCTCCACGGACGGTTAAATAACTGGGACTCCCTGTCAGCTGTTGGAACTGAAGAAGGCTTTCAGACGAGAGGTTAAATGTCTTCAAGAACCTTAAAAGAAGTTGAGCTGCCCTCGATTTAAGCACTTAAGATTCCTGGACCTGGGGATCTATGCAGATATACGTCAAGATCTTTTGAAATTATAAAAAGCCTTTGGACCTGTAGGAAACAACAGGGCTTTAGGATACAAGTGTCCACAGGAGAGCTGGTAGGTGTCTTCTATAAATCCTTCCTCCTCCACGTTCACCAGGATCCTCTGACCACAGACCGCACAGATATCATTGGTTAGGTTCCTGCTGGGCATGCCACCCTTGTTGTAGTACTGGAAACACAAAAGTGCTACATCAGCAGGCATACACATAAATGTTGTTATTGTTTTGTGTTTTACTTTTATGGATTTATATACAAAAACAATAGTTTTTGTAGCCATTTTCTTTCAAAACTGTTTTTGATCGCGTTTGTGTTAAACTTCAAAAATGATGACAGCCTCCAAGACTATTTGTACTGTTTGCAAGCACTTAAGCTTAATTTAATTGTAGTTCAAAACACTGTTAGCTTTATTTATTCACAAACTAGCTGAAGGCTGCTATGTTGACCTGGAAGGGCAAAAAAGTGTTTTACCCCGATTGTAGAAGCCATGCAGTCCGAACAGATTTCAGCAAAGTCTCTGCCCATGACGCCGTAGTAAAGTCCATAAAACAGCATAATCACACCAACATCCATCGAGTCCTCTGCTTTGATCCTGTACAAAGAGAAAATGGAAATAACTCTTATGTAGCTGTACTCATGTCAGTACAGCTAATTTAACTGTGCTCAATGGAACTGAGAGACATTTAAATGGAGTTATGTAACTACCACTTAGTATCCAAAAAGCCACTAAAGAGCCGTTACACTGTATCTGAAGGTAGTCTGTCCTGTAAAAGGTGAAAGGACTACTGTTTGATAGCTCACTCAGCCAAAATCATATTTAAGATGTTAAGACCACAGTTTAATCAAATTAACCATATCTTCAACTCTTGACCCTCAGAGTCACCTGATTTATTAAACTTTAATTTGTTTAAAACATGCAAACATTTACCTTCACAGCATGAATATTTTCTAAGCCAGTTAACCTAGACAAGAGGTGGATTAGCATTTTGTTGCTTTTAATTATAGTTCCTGTATCCTTAAGCCTGGTGTATATCCTAAGCAAGGAGAAAACCACATCTGGACTGAAAATATGTTTAAGGTCTGTTAAAAACCACAAGCACATCAATTTTATAACCTCTCCAACTGCAAAATCTAGTTTGTATCAGGGTCAGTGGATGCTCTCTTCATGATTTGTTTACCTGCCTGTTCAACTTGTGATAAATGTATGGGGACATGAAGGGACATTCATGTCCACTGTATCGTCCTCATATACTGGCTCAGAACTGATTTTTCATGGAGTGACTCTTAACGAAAACTTTTCAATACTTCCACTGAAAGAGGTTTATTTGTGTTTTGTCTCACTATCTTAAACTCTTCCAGGCAATTGAAACCTCAAATAAAACAGAACTCAGTGATGGCCGTAAACTCAACCAGAAGTCAACACGTTAGCACCATCTACAGTTCACTGCTACACTTGAGTGGCACTGGTAGCTTTCGGCACGTTTAGTCCGTTCTGGAAATGAAACTTAGTGGAAATGAAACTTATCGAAGTGAAACTAAGTGTAAACGAAACTCAGTGAAAACAGAAAGCTCAAAAATAAAAAAATTCATTACAAAGTACACAACTCCGATAACCTGGGTTTCTGACAGTGACTGAAGCAGACTGTGTGTCGTTGCTCTAACTGGTCTACATTTTGATTTCTGAATACTTTTCGTTTGAATACTTTCAGTGTTTAACAGCCACTATTGTATGAACAGTGGCTCCATTGTGTAACATGGTTTTGTCAGGAAAGGCTCTCAATTCTATTTTATTTATATAGTCCCAAGTTACACACAACAGTTGCCTCAAGGCACTTAATATAGTAAAGTAAAGATCCTACAAGAATACAAAAACCGAGAAAAAAGCCAGCAATCATATGAACCCTTAGCAAGCGTTGGCGACAGTCGGAAGGAAAAACTCCCTCTGTATCTGGTGAAAAAAATCTGCCAATAGAAATATGCAGATCTACTTACTGTGGTAACTGCTTGTGAATAAGGGAACAGCCCAAATTAGCTTTGAATCAACTCTGTGTGATTAAACAAGCTCATTAAGAGCTGAGCTGTCAGCACTGACTCACCTGAAGAAGACGTTGAAGCCGAACATGGTGAACATGATGGCCATGTAGCCCAGAACCCCGACTGCATAACTCAGCTTGTAGATGAGCAGAAACCACTTGTAGACCATCCTGGAAATTCAAAGAGACAAAGACAATAGTTGTCCTGTTAGTTATCATTCACCATGACACACTGTATGTGTCACTGGACACATCTGCTTTGAATTAAAGGGTTTTGAAATTAGGAGCTAAAGTTCTAATTGGTTTTGCTTTGTTAAATTTTATGTATGTATATCTTTTATTTGCCTTTGTTTGCAGTTTTCTGTTGGTTTTATGTTTTTCATCTTATTATAAAGTATTAGGCCAAAAGCCAAAAGCCAAAAAAGGCTCACAAGTATATAAACAGAAAATACTTAATTTTAAAGCTTAAATTCTATATTATTTATAAACATAATGACACAGATGTCAACAACTGTGATGGGTCTCGATTTCTAAACTGTATATTAATTAGCCAAAGGATAAAATAGCGGGTAATTGTTTAAGTTAATTAAGTTGCCATACCTCCAATAATCCGTTGTGAAATCTTTGGTCTTTCCTTTATTTCAGTAAAATAAACTCTTTAGTTTGTCTCCATCGTTCCCCTTACCTCGGCGTCCTGCAGGACAGCGGTTTGCGGGTGGCTCTGAAGATGACGTAGCTAGTGATGATGGAGAACATCCCCCACATGGACAGAAAACGCCACCAGTACAGTTTGATGGTGAAGTAAAGAGGAACCACCCACATCTGGACCAGAGTCACCAGCTGTTGAGGACAGAGACAGTCCTTATTCAGTATCAGACTAAGCCAGCTGCATACAGTGGCGTGAATGGAAAATAGCACGTTTCTTCTCTCCCAGAGGACCAAGTCCTTTATACAACATCCTCCATTTACCCAGTCACACAAACTAAACTTTAGCTACTTTTTCACTAACATTCACACACATTAACAGCAATTTGGAGTCTCCATCTTTCCCAAGGATAATTGCCTGAAGCAGAGTAAATACAACATGAATTATTTAAATTATTTCCAAAAGTTATCCAAACCTACCTGGCCATATGTGAAAAACTAATTGCCCCTTATCCACATAACTGGTTGTACGACCCTTATGGGGAAAAAAAAAACTGCAAACAACTAACTGCCAATGAGCACTGTGGAGGAATTTTGGCCCACTCTTCTTTGCAGAATTGTTTTAAATCAGCCTTGATGGTGGAGTTTTGAGCATGACCTGTTTAAGGTGAGGCCAAAGCATCACGTCCAGACTTTCACTGAGCCACCCCAAAACCTTCAATTTGGTGTTTTTGAATCAGTCACTCGTGGATTTGTTCTGCTGCATAATTGAACTAAGCTTAACTGGACATTATCCTTCAGGATTTTCACCTGCAGATGGGGAAACAGCATTGTTGTACATCACTGCTAGCAGGAGTGAGTATATGCTAACAGCTGCAGTTAAGCTTACATGTGCAGAATGACACTGACACAATAAATGCTTGTAAACAAGTGTAAGGTGACTTGTTTCCTCTGGAGGATTTCCTTTGTGAGAAAATAACATCAGTAATGTAGTTAAGGCTATAAAACAGGCAAAAAGATTAAGTTTTCTCAGGAGCCTGAGAAAACTTAATCCTCAATATTAAAATATAAAAAAATAGTTTTATTACTTTGTACTTACATGAATAACAATGGCACCAGGCAAATAAAGACAAACATCCTGTGCATAAAACCTTGCAGCTTCTAATCACAGCTGATGCCAACTTTATAATCGGTTTCACACAGGAAAAGGTACAGCAGAAACGTTCAGGACGTGGCCAAATTTATTCTCAAACCGCCTCCTCTAGCTTCTTTCCATCATCAGGGGGCAAGAAACTTTTGATCGTTTCTACAACTAAAATCTGACATTTGGCTTTACAGAAACCTCACCATGTGGCTTGTGCTTGCCAGAATTATTGGGCCATACACCTTACAACTTCCACTGCATGCTTAAACTTTTGTTAGTATGGTCATGATGCACATGGTTAAAGCTGTTAACACTCCTCACTTTAACTGCTCAAATGATTACGCAGAAATCAATTTGAGACCAATTCAAATAAAAATAAAAAATAAAAAAACAGCAGCAATTCACTACCTCTGAAGTGGTCATACAGTCTAAAAATTGTGGCCTTGACTATTTAACATGTTTTGTTCATAAACACTCAATTATTTTCAATTTTATTTTATTTATACATCATATATACATATACCATCGCAACAACAGTCGGCTCAGAGCACCTTATACTGTATTGTAGGGATGCAACGATACCAATTTTTCAAACCGATACGATACAGCTACTTGGATCTGAGTATACAGATACAGAGTACAAAAACCGATACTTCTACCACACACACACACACACACACACACACAAATGGAAGACAGGTTTTATTTTATTCTCTGCCGATAATAATACTTAATAAAAATGACCACAAAAAAAATTTCAAGTGGAAAATAAACACTTCTGTTAAATTATTGCAGAGTCTCCACATTGTAATTTAACAAAATATCACTGAACTATTGGCACTGTCTTGAGCTTTCGGAATAATAAATAAACACTTCTGTTTGGAATAAAATAAATACAAATTAGGTTTGAGAATAAAATAAATTTTAAATTGTTGCAGAGTGTCCATATTGTAAACAAACAACAAAATAAAAGTATTTGGCATTGACGAACGAACTTCCCATCTGCCCGTGGATCATCAGTCCACTGTGCCGTTAAACCAAGGACTGACATCGCGCACACACTGCTTGTCTTTACCTCTTTAGAAAGTTTTGGCACCATTATCTCCCTGATGTGTGGGCGGCTGGGAATTTCATATCGCAGCTCGAGTATTATTTGCCTATTTTGCACCACTATGCCTTCTTACTTGAATATTGTATATTGTATATTGCATAGCTTTTTTTTGTTATACGTAAAATTGTATTGTATTTATTTAAATTTTACTTTTTAATTATTTATTTGCATTTTTCTAATCACTAGGGTTTGAGAGTAACGCAATTTCTATTCTGTGTATGTCCTGTACATGTGGCAGAATTGACAAATAAAGTTGACTTGACTTGACTTGAGTATGCTGAGAGGAATCCTATGTTTTCCACGACTGGCATTGGCTGGTCATCCAGAACGATACAATGAGTCAGAGCCTCTGTTATTTTAACCGCCTGTGGATTTTCTCTTGACATTTTTCATCGCTTTTCCAAAACCTGAGTTAAAGTTTGCTGTTCCGGTCCACACTGCTGACATTTTGTTTAGCCTAGCTACAGCAGCCTCCAGCTTCTCTTTTTTATCTGGAGCTGCCAGTCTGACTCATCTAACCCTGTGCCTGTTTAGCGCGGGATGTCCCCTAGTGGCCAATCTAAAAAACTACAACAAAAATGACAAGCCACCATCTGATTAATGAAATAAGTTAGTATCGGTTCATGGTATCGGTTAACTTTTACAAGTATGAGTACACACACATTTTACAGTATCGGCCCTGATACCGATACCAGTATCGGTATCGTGCATCCCTACTGTATTGTAAAGACCCCACAATAACACAGGGAAACCCCCAACAATCAGAGAACCTCCTATGAGCAAGCACTTTGGCGGCAGCGGGAAGGAAATTCTTCCTTTAAACAGGAAGTAACCTCAGACAGGACCAGACTCAGGGAGGGGCGTTTTTTATTTTATTTTTTGGCTGTTGTACATTGTAGATGGTTCCTTCCCAGATAGAGATCAGTGCTGTTTGTTCAGGTGGGATTCACATGAGCTTGTATCTCACTGTCTGAAAGTAATGTAGTGCACAGACTGCTCTCTCAAAAAATTTTAACCCCATCCCCAAAATTAAATGTATTATTTAACCCTCTGGGGTTGACAGACGCGGCGGCACGTCATAATGGCGATTTAAGATGACAGCGAGACAGAGCCTGAGATTCCGTTTGAATTTGTGTTGAAAGTGCAAACTTCAAACTACGTACCAGTTTTTAAATTGTGTTGATAGGCCAAGAAAAAAAGTTATGGTAAATGGTAAATGGCCTGTATTTGTATAGCGCTTTCTAGTCCCTAAGGACCCCAAAGCGCTTTACACAACCAGTCATCCACCCATTCACACACACATTCACACACTGGTGATGGCAAGCTACAATGTAGCCACAGCCACCCTGGGGCGCACTGACAGAGGCGAGGCTGCCGGACACTGGCGCCACCGGGCCCTCTGACCACCACCAGTAGGCAACGGGTGAAGTGTCTTGCCCAAGGACACAACGACCGAGACTGTCCAAGCCGGGGCTCGAACCGGCAACCTTCCGATTACAAGGCGAACTCCCAACTCTTGAGCCACGATCGCCGATTATGATTAATATGATTAATAATATTCGCATACTCCCCGTTTACTGCAAAAAGAGACGATAAACACCAGACAGCGCTCGCATTGCAAGCGAAACCCCACACTCCACCCCACAACATGGCATCCCCGTTCTTACTGGTGAAAATTAACCACATCAATCAATCAAAAAAAAAAAAAAAATGGCAACCTACAACATTTGGTTGCTGAGGCTGAGGGAAGATTGTGAGAGCTATGGTGGCAAGTGATTGACAGCAATATTGATATTGAGTTTTGAAAATTTGTTGTTAATTTAAGTGTCACAACAATGAGACGGCTACTTAATGTGGATCAGGCATTGAAACCTTTTTTAGGCTGGAAGTAGTTTCGGAGCCAGACTCTGAGCTGGAGAGTGACGAGTATGACGATGAAGTGGAAGACTGCAAGAGGTGTAAAGGGGAAGAGGAGGGGAGGAAGAAGAGCCTCTCACATCCACACAGAGTGCACTAGGAGGTCTGCAGAGAGAGGGAAGGCGTGACACACCCACCAGGTCCAGATCTCCACTGGCCCAGGCAGCAGAGCCACACCTCAGCTCAGAGTCCTGGAAGTCAGAGAAGGATGCTGACATTGCCCCAGAATTTAGCAGGAGAACACCAGGAGTCCAGATAGAGACACTTTGCCCTCATAGTCCAACAGACTTTTTCTTATTGTTTTTTTGCTACTGACACAGTCAATACAAATTTGTGCAAACACGAACAAAAATGCTGCAAATAAATAAATAAAAAATAAATAAACAAAAATCATAATTTAGGCAAAAAATACAAATGCACAGTTTTTTGGTCTCCTGATTTACATGTCACTTGTGTCACTTCCAAGTCTCAGATTACTGGAGACAGAATCATATCTTGTCTGTGCCCCTTCCATCCATAGTGATGATGAGAGACAGGTTCTTCACCATATTTTTAAAATCCACCTCAGTGATCCTGAGGTGGATTTTAAAAAAATGACACAGAGAAAGGAACACCAGGCCATGACAAGCATTTTAGAGTCAGGCCTCTAAATGATGAGATCCTCAGTGCCTGCCAGGCTCATTACTAAAAAGGAGGGAGTTGTCAGTAGATGAAAGGATGAAAGGTGGCAACCAAAGCAAAAACTGGGATGACACAATATATGAAAGACAAACCGACTAAATGGGGGATGAAAATGTTTATATTGGCTGAATCAAGAAGTGGCTGCACCATCAGCTTTACCATATACACTGGCAAGAATCAAACTTCAAGTGAGCATGGGCTGGCCTATGATGTGGTGATGAACCTCATTTGGCTTTTTTGTCTTGGCACTGGATACCATGTTTACATAGACAATTTTTATACCAGGAAAACAGAAAAGGATGCCCCAAAGACAGGGCAAATGCTCTGAACGGAAAATGTCAGAGGATCTGAGATGGATCAGAGGGCCCACTTGTTTTTGTGAAGTGGATGGACACACGGGAGGTGTCCGTGTGCTCCACCATCCATCCCTGCATTTTCAGGGGAGATGGTGAAGAGAAAGGTGAAGGATGGACACTTAGCTATCAGAGAAATCCCCTGTCCCACACCAATCATGGCATATAATAAAAATATGGGCGGGATTGACCTGTGTGACCAGCTCATTCAGTATTATTTCACTCACAGAAAAACTGCCTGCTCGTACAGGACCATGAAGGTGCATTTTGTGGACATTGCGACAACAAATGCATTCACCTCGCATCTTGAGATATGCAGTGCCAACCAGGTTCAGCCCATAGCGCACAAAGATTCCATAGTGTGCATCAGCTTTGTGGGATGGACAAGACAGGTGTTCCCCACAGCAGCAGAGCTGAACACATTCCTGTTCAAACTGTCACCGACACAGACGCTGACCAAAAAGCCACTAAGGCAGACTCAAATGTAAGCGCCGTCTCCAGGAGGACAACAGGTGGAGTGACACACCCTGAAAGTGTCAAGCCTGTGGTGTGCCCCTGTGTCTTGTGGTGAAGAGTTGTTTGAAAAATTCTACATAGGTTTTTAAAATTTACTTTTTATATTAAACATAATTTGTTAAACATGTTTGTGGTTTTTACCATAAAAAAAAGGGACAAATCAGTGCCTTTAGCCTCCCTGCTGGCAGCACTCACATTGTAGGAGCGGTGGTGCCTCTGCTTCCACTGCACCAGGACTATCTGAGCCACCACCAGCGTGGCGATGAGGATCAGCACCATCTCTGCGTGCATGGCCTCGTGTCCTCTGTGCTTCATGTGCAGGCGCTCGTGTTGCACCCTGTAAAGATGAAGAGGAGGATTAAGGAGTGAAGCATGTGCCGGAGAGTCAGGACTAAACATGAATTTGTGGCAAAAGCTGCATTTATTTTCATATTTATTAAAAAAAAAAACTAAACTAAAAAGCAGATGTTTTTGGATGTAACGTATAAAGAAAATGCAGAAGAGGGTGTACTCACTTCCAGTTTTCTCTGTGTGTCATTTTCAGCAGGTCGTCCTGGAACGAGGGACAGAAATAGCAGCTGGGAGCTTTGTGGGTCTCACTGCACACTAATGTAGGTTAACACAACTTCCTAAACTGAGAGACAAGCTATTTGATGAACTGTGTTTCCCGCCTCTACCATAACAACATAAGACCTAATGTTTCTGTAATAAGAAAGGCGTTTCCTTAAACATGCCTCTGTTGTGCCACGTCGAAGCCACAGTATTCACAGCTCACCTGAACTACGGAGCTAATTAGCCTCAGTTAGCTGTTTTCTTCACTTGCCACGGACAGTAACGGTCTTTAAAGTTTATAAACAGCTAGACTGAAGAGTTTAGTTCACTCACCTGGGGATGTACACCCGCCATCGTCTTGCTTTCTGTGCGCTTCTGGTGCAAGCTATCCGGCAACCAGCAGCTAGCTTAGCCCGGTCCCTACTGACCGAGTAAGGAAGGCCAAGGGTGCCAAAATTAAACGCGTATCAGAGCGACCCCTCCTTGTCAGCTATGAACAAACCTATCATAGTCTCATTTTTAAATCAGATATTATTTGACACTCTTCCAATTCAGTTTAGCGTGAGTTAGTTTCCAGAGAGGGTGAAGTTACTAAATTGTGAGAATTATTTTTCTGTCAATCCTAATTTCAATTATTTGCCTGTATGTATGAGGACATTTTGTTAAACTGATTGTTTTTCCCAAGGTAACATCTCTCTGAGTGAGACAAGGCTCAACACTGTTGGTTTATGCTTGAAGTACCCAGAGTTGTGTTCAATTTTGTATCCATAACAAATCCTTCACTGGGGTGGCATAAGGAGGACCCACAAATACGAAACCCACGAAAAATACAGTAAAGCAAAACTGTCATTAAAAAATACAAGCTTTTAATAATAGTAATTAATAATAACTCATTAGCATTATATAAAAACGCAGTACTGCATAACAGTGTAAAAGTCAGTTGCTTAGAAATATGTAACTTTTTTACCAAGTAGAAAATCAGGTACACCCATTTACCTACTTAATCTGACTAACTTCTCAGCCAACACCAACTCAACACTTCATGTATAGCCTGATTTATTCCCAAAATAGTCCTCGACACACTGGGTTTTCACAGTATAGTGAACTAATATAGTTGTTCAATATCTGAAAACATTTTACAAATGTTATTCTGTAGTGTTAAAATTTACATGATGCAATTTATGTTCTCTGGGATTCTTCATGTCACTGAGTTAGATGTTGAATAGTTTTCATCAGTTACAATCTATCAAATATTTAAGCATTTGCCCAAGCAATGCAGCCCAACGAGAAGCAACAGTGTACAGTCTAAAACCCCTTATTGGTTAAATTGTTTGAATGAATGAATTTCAGCAAGAGAAGACAGATTAAAAACCAAAACAAAATCTTTCCGCACCTATTGGATCTTTATTACTTTAAAAATTATGTACAAGTAAAAATACAAAAAACTAACTCTTTGCCAGCATGCATGGAAAATAAAAACCAATTACTTCAAAACTAAGAACATCTCATTTACAGTCACAAAACTGCCAGCTTGTTTTCTGTTTAAGATTAATTTTATTTTTAAGATTGGATGACAGCCATCTTTCAAACTTCAACCTACAAAAAAAAAAAAACAAAAAAACAAAAAAAAACACCCTACACAGCTGACTTATGTTTGATTGCAGGTCCATCAATGTTGACGTCCAGCCTGAAAGTGAGATAAATTGAGATAAAGTTAGATCTGGAAGAGAAGAGTTCACAAGCAAAGCTGCAATCTAATGTTCGCTCAGACATCCAAGGAAGATTTGAACCATCTTTGGTGTTTAAACCTCTGGTGGAAACTACGAATGGCAGGAAAAATCATCATCACAGCGATAAACTCTTCAAAGACGTAAGACTTCAACAAGTAACCGTACATACCAGCTTTAACAGCCTGGAGAATCCACAGATTAGCCTTGTATCCGTGGCAATTATCTCCCTGAAAGGGAGAATACAATTTAGTTCTTAGAACAAAGACATTCAAAAGTAGAACTACGATCCTCTAATGTTCGCTCAGACATCCAAGGAAGATTTGAACCATCTTCGGTGTTTAAACCTCTGGTGGAAACTACGAATGGCAGGAAAAACATCATCACAGCGAACATTCCCCTTCCACGTTTTAATAAAGACTGTGGCTTCATGGGCATTTAAGGGAAAAAAAAAAAAAAAAAGTCCAAGTTAAAGGGGACACATCTACAACACCCCAGGACTTTAAAGCAGAGTACAAACTTGCAGATATAATGATATAATTTATATAGATATACAGATATAATTTTTTTTTTTTTTAATGGTCAAATGGTGATAATTAAAAAAAAAAAAAAAAAAAAAAAGAAAAGAGGACCCAATATCCGTTTTTGTAACTACAGTGTCATACATCTCCATCATAGCCACGAACAGCTTGGAATACGTACCAGCTTTAGGAACTCTGACCACCAACACTTGTGCTGGAGAGTCTGCAGGTTGATCCTTTACAGAAACAGCCATTCAGCCTGAAAGTGAGATCGGGTTTAGGTCAGTACACAAGGCAGAAAGACACAAGATACAACAGGAATTAAATGTTCGCTCAGGCATCCAAGGAAGATTTGAACCATCTTTAGTCTGTAGACCTCTGGTGGAAACTACGAATGGCAGGAAAAATCATCATCACAGCGAAACAATTTCAAACGGTAAAGTCCAAAATATTAACAAATACATACCGGGAGCAGCTCTGGTGACACAACAGGTTTACAGCTGGTGGGCATAACTGAAGACGTTCATCCTGAAACAGATCGAGGCAGAGTCAGCTCTGAAAGAAGACGTGTCAATAACAAGAGTTGTCTGTGAAGGTTCTCAGTCATCAACAAGAGTTAAACTTCAAAGTGTTCGCTCAGACATCCAAGGAAGATTTGAACCATCTTTGGCGTTTAAACCTCTGGTGGAAACTACGAATGGCAGGAAAAGCGTCATCACAGCGAACTGTAAACTCCTCAGAGCAGCTGTACTGCGATCAAATGACCTTTAACAGCTTACCCAGAATCAGGCGCAGTGATGCTGATCCACATCTGCTCCTCTGTCCAGAACTCCCTGAACCCAGCATGCTAACACGGCTGAACAGCTTCATGACTTTTACTGAAGACTATTCTCTGCAACGACTGGCAGAAACAGAAAATATGAATGTTAGGAGCAAGAAGTGACAATCTGATTTAAAACAATATATAAATAAAAATCCCCTTCAGTCGCTCAGACATCCAAGGAAGACTTGAACCATCTTTGGTGTTTAAACCTCTGGTGGAAACTACGAATGGCAGGAAAAATCATCATCATAGCGACTGACTGGGGGTTTACAGATTTAAGACACTTTTCCAGGGAAAAAAAGATTTAGATTCTCTCGGTATTTCAGAGAAAATATAAAGTAATTAAAATTTGCATTCTCAATTTGTATGTCTAGAAATTAAAGACGTACACTGTACAGTCTACCCTGGAAAAATCAGTTCAAAGAAATCCTTAAAAACTGAAAATCACTATGCCCATGATGAGTGGGCTAGAGACCAGGCACAGATTTAACTGGTCAGCAAGTATTTTCTTACACTGTACAAGTTTTAGTTAATGCGTCAGTGGGTAACTTAACTGATAAACTCACCTGCAGATTTTAGTTCTTGAGGAATTCACCCCATCTTGCATCCTGATGCACCAGGGCACCTTCCACACAGTGCTGTCCCAGTTAAGCTCATTCTCTGTGACTGATGGGAACCTGTGGAGACACTTGCTGCATTAGAAAGCCAGCATGTTAGCAGTAGCTGCTAATTAGGAACAGCTCGTAACGCTCAGACATCCAAGGAAGATTTGAACCGTCTTTAGTGTTTAAACCTCTGGTGGAAACTACGAATGGCAGGAAAAAACATCATCACAGCGCAGGAAGACGCTTCATATGCATAACAAAAAGCACAAAGTAAAACTTACCTTGACTGTGCTGGAGACACTGTTGTGCGTGTCATCCTCATCAAAAAGAACTCTGTTGAAGCGTCAACATTAAACTGAAAGAAGAAAACACCATTCAGTTAATAGTTCAAGGCCACAGTGACCAGAGTAACTGGATCTCAAGAGAGTTAAATCAGCACAATTACTACACATTAGCTTTTACACTAGTCTGCCGTTTCATCCAAAGTCTACAGATCTGTGCATCTACAAAAGGGCCAAAATGTCGACACCTTTAGCCTTTGCGATCTTGTTTTACTTAGGTTATAAATACAGATTAGGCATAAAATGTTTTCTATGATTTATTAGTTCCTATGACAATTTAGTAGGTGTGTGCATACCATGTATTTTATTTTAAAGTAAAGAGTTCTTATTTGATTTTATTCAAGTGGGTATTTTACTGACACTGACAATTTGTAACTTTGCTATGAAAACATTTCATTCTTATTAGTCTTAAAAAAGCAACTGATTTCAAATCTGATTGTGGCAGCCATTTTTTTTTAAAAATTATATCATGTAAATTATTCCTTTAATACAGGTTTGCTCTGAATCCGTACTTTTGCACTTTTTGTAGTTAGCAGGATTTTTTAAAATCATTTTATTTTTCATGCATTTTTAGTAAGTAACCCATTCATTAATCGTATACCTAAAATAACTGAGCTTAATGCTGTTTCACCATATCTGATACCAAAGGCCTATTTCCCTGATTATAATTTGTGCAACACCCCCACCACGTGTTCAGCTGATGGAAATTTCTGGATACTCGTTGCTTATCGTTTTAAATAAAGGGCGTGTTTAAAAAAATAGTAATAAAATTGTAAAGATTATAAAACAATTGAGCTATTATTGACATGCCTATTGATAAAACTTAAAATTATTACACCTTCGGTCACATTTTAGACCCTCTTCATGCCACCATATGGTTTTAATTTATATATCACTTGTATGTATGACTAACCCGGTGTAACTCTAACTGAAGTGTAATTAACTCTGAATAAACTCTACAGACGTGATGTTACGAGAAAACCACGTGACAAGTTTACAACGACTCACACACAATCTGCCGCCATCCGTGAAATAAACGCCTCATCGCTGGTAAATACCGGCACGTTGCATCTCAACACAAAGTAATTAACAAATACAACGTTACATTTATTAACTAATATAAAGATTTAACGCATATTTACCCAGATGCAGACCAACACTCTCCACCTCGACTACAGGCTCAAATGACGGAACACAGAGCTCCTCACCCTTTTATCTACAGGCGGCGACTAAATGGTGTAATTCAGTTTTACCGCCGCATGCTGGACCGGAGGCGGAACTGACACACTGTTAGTGCCTTCTTTTTAAAATGTTATGTATTCATTTGACGTAAATAAATAACTAATGCATGTCAAACAATTTTGAGTGGATTAAAGGTTGATCAGAGGGAGAGAGACACAGAGATAAAGAGAGAGAGAGCCTCCCTCACTGTCACTGAATAACTGACTAACAGAACAACCAATCACCTCTGCCCTGTACTCTCCATCTCGCTCCTGATTGGTGGATGCTGCAAAGATGACTGTTTGGTGCGTTCCTCCTCTTCCCCTCCTCTTCATCCCCTCCCTCCTCCGTGTGGTGGTGGTGCTGCTGCTGCAAGCTGCTGGTGTTGCCGTGACGATGATATCCTCCCCCTCCCACACACACACACACACTAAGAGGACAGGCAGCAAACAAGACGCTCTCGTGACGCGATGGCTTCAGGCTGGAGAACAGACAGCAGTGATCGGCTGCGTCTGAGGAAAACATGGTGAGTGCTCTCTTTAATTTCCAAGATGAAAGGACAGACGGACAACTGCGTGGACAGATGGATGGCTGGATGATTGATGGGTGGAGGAATGTGTGAGGATGACAGCAGCAGCAGCTGTAGCATGCTGTGTTTTCTTGATAGGGAGAGAGAGGGAAGAGGGGAGGATGGACAGACTGCAGATGGATGAAGGTGGAGGACTGAATGAATGAATGAAGGCAGGAAGAAACTGATCAGCTTTAAAGCACATACAAGCCTGTGTGTGTGAGTGTGTATGTGTTTGTGTGTGTGTGTGTGTGCTGCCAGGCCTGTAAATGCAGGTTAGCATCCTGAGTGCTAACAGTAACAGTAGGTACGTCACTCCTGTGAACCAAAACTGGGCTGATCTGCTTTAATTTCTACAGCCACATATAAACAGACAAACACATACAGATATGGATGGATTAGCAAACAGACAGCAGGGGCAGGGAGCAGCAGGTCAGAGCTTGTTTGATGTTTGAAGTTAATGTTTCTTCATTTAAAGTCAGTCGAGTGACTACAAAAAACAAACTGACCACAGAGATGAAGAGAAGATGTTGAAATTACTGAAAAGATGCCAAATTAGCAATAATGATACAGAAAAAAAGCCAGAAGACATGAAAAACATCTACAAGAACAAGCAAAAATGACTAAAGAAGATATGAAAAAGGCACAAAATCGCTGCAAAGAGACCCAAAACTGAAAGTTAAAAGCATAAAAAAATAACAGAGAAAAAACCACAAAGACACAAAACTACAAAGAAAATCAAACCGACTGCAAAAGAAATGCAACAGTTAAAAATGTGCAAAATCTCCCCAAAGACGCATCGAGTCACCACAAAGCGAAGCAAAGCAATTAAAAATGCAAAAAACATATGCAAAGCCATAAAAAAGTACTCCGAAAGAAGAAAAACAACTGAAGAAAATCACTAAAGAGATGCTAAATAACTTTTAACAGATGCAAACATTCAACAAACAAATAACAAATATAAAGAGATACTAAATTAAAAAGACAAGACACATCTGACTATTCTCTTCTGCTTATCCAACACCAAGATAAAAATCCAACATTATAAAAAACACAAAGATTTATAAAATGAAAATAAAAGAAACATTGTAAAATTACAATAAAGAGACACAAAATTAGCATGAAAAGATGCAAAACAGCTACAATGACACACAATACGACCAAAACAGATTTCACACACACAAAAATCATCTCCACACAGAAAAAACCCTGAATAGGAAACAAAAACTGTAAATCACTACACAGACACACCAGCAACCAGAACAGAGGCAAAATGCTACAAAGACGAGCATTAAAAGATGCAAAATCACTGCGAAGGCGAACAAAATAAATAAGAGTCACAAAACATTAAGGATGGACCAGGACTTCATTATCATCACAGTTATTGTGTTACATTTAAGTTTGTAACTAAATAGTTAGAGGTTTTGTAAATGGTCGTATCCAGGACAATCTAACCCTGATAACTGAGCTTGAGTGTTTGAGTTCAAGTATGTTATGACCACATGGTCAGTAGTGACAAGGATGAAAATATATGTCTGCAGGATGAACTGGATGAACTACAAATTACTCAAGAAGGAGCAAAGCTACTAGAAAAAAACATCTAAAAGATTACTAATCATCCATTTACTTAACAGCTCATCCAACATAGTCTATCCTAGCTGAGTGCAGAGTGACAACCTGGGTCACAGAAAAGACTTTAAAGAAAAACAAGATAAGAGAAGGAGCCAGAAAACTAAGAAACAAAAACAGAAATTTGACTATAAAAAGAAAAAAAATATGCACGAAGAAGTGCAAATTGCAAACAAGCATAAAGATAGTGAAAAAGAGGTGCTTTGATGAAATCTGTAAACTGGGCATAAAATTAAAAAGCCTACAAAGACAAATAAATAGATGAAGTGATGAAACATTTTCAATAGAACACATGGAGAAAGAAAAAGGTAATTACAAGCTATAGAAGAGAGACAGAGGAGTGATTAAAACAAAGAGAAAAACAGAAACATTCCCACGGGAATACAAAGGGAGACAGATCAGATTACCTGACTCTGTGTGTATGTGTGTGATGCCACACTGTATATTTACTGGCAAGCTCTTCAGAAACTGGTTCCACTGGTACGTTTCTCAGGCTGCAGGCAGGATGTTTTGTTTTTTTTCTTTTGACTTCTAAAGAAATCTCACAATCCTCTAATGGACGCTGCTCTGCTGAGCCAACATGATGTAAGTCTCTCTCTAATTAAATCAAAGTATTTCATTTGTAATAACCAGCCTTTTGTTTAACCGGCATTCAAAATCAAGTGAAATTAATGTATTACTATGTCAGGTGCC